AGGCTATGAACATCGTCATTACTGATACAACGTTGATGGCGATGATACATGCAAAGAGGAATGTCTTGGTGAAGTGGTCTTTGTCAGAGGCGTTGGAATCTGGTCTACACAAAGAAAACATCAATTATTCCATGCATATGTGATCATTATCATACACTCGAAACAATTACTGAATAGTTTGATACTTGTTTAAATCACTTTCGATGAGTACATACTACAGATACATTTTTACCAATCGTATTGGCTATATGACGATAAAAGTCAAAAATAATAATTATAATGAAATAAGATGGCATTGTTTCTAAGCTTCACTTAGTCAGGTTTGTCAGGAAAATGCTTTGGAAAGGAATAACGATGTCAGAGTTAAAGCCCACAAGGATAAATGACGTCATCAATATGTGACGTCATAGTTAATTAGATGCATTACTTAATTTACTTTACTAAAAATTAATGGGACATAATTTGTCCGAAATTAATGGCATCAGTGAGAATCTAAAATGAGCTAACCTACCCACATAAGGATTTCGTTTTATAAAAATCAACCCTAAATTGTACGCGAACTTTTAAGTTTCGAATCAAAATCATTAACGAAGTCTTAATAGTTTCTTTCCCTTTTTAAAACACCAGGTGAATATTTCTTTATATGGGGGTAATCGTGAATTAAATTTTGGCTTAATTGTTGATATGTCCAATCACTTGTAAACATCTCAAGTCAATGTTGCCTGTTCATTGTCAGTCAAAGGTTCTTACCTGGATAGATCACGTTTTGTTTGATATATGAATCAGTAAGTTGTTTACAATCAATAACAGTGATATCGTTTTAAATATTCAGTTAATAAAAGTGAATTTGAAACCATTTTCGGACATAAAAGTAAGACATTTAGCTAGTATGTTGATGTCTCCAAGATTGGAGGGTTACATGGGGACACACTAGGTCCAATTTAAATAGTTCCAATCGTTCCGAAATTGGAACCTTTCATTGAAAAACAATGTGGTAAAAAAAAAATTATTCTTCCACTTGAACGAAGCATTCACCTTGGTATATCATGATAATTTCATAAAACTTATTTCTGTAAAATTATGATCATGAATTCATCATTGTCGATCATGTCAAACTTTCCATTTTAATGACATCTTCTCTTACTTCCACTAACTTATTAACTTATATTCGTCACTTTAAAAGAACTTACAGCAGTTGTCTGTCAAAAAGAAAGGTAACTTTTCTTCTTCTTTTTTATTCCTGTACAACTCCGGGATGGGAATTTAATATTTATCCAAACATGCACAGGACAAAAATGAAATCAATATATCAAAACATATGGGAAACATTCAACGGTTTATTGGATAAAAATGGTTAAAAAGTTATTGAAGGCCTCTAAATCCAGCATATACTCATACTGTTTAAAATTTAAAACACGCTGAATAAGTATTATTCACTTTTCTCATGGGACTGTCCAGTATAGATAAACTTTCAATATAAATTGAAATAAACCAGATTTTAACAAGGTTTTTATATCCTTATAAAACAAGTTTAAATGTGTTGGAGTACATGAAATTTTGGGCCATTTTTTCATTCTGTGTCACTTTAAGAGGGTTAATGAACAGTTATTTGATATTTTGAAAATTGATTTTTTTTATATTTTCATAATGTTTGATATTCGACTTCATCGCATACTTTCTGTGATGCACATTACATGTGCTTTTATCACATAGATGACTTGAATTTACCGTTTTATGTTGCATTGAAATAAGTAAAACCTCTAACAATTGCAGGCATCAAATGTTTTGTTGTTCAATGAGATTCTATAAAATGGCCACGTGAAAGTGTGACACTATCCATACAGCCGAGTGCCTTTATCAGTTTTTTTTTTATTTTGCTGTTGTTTATTTTTTGTACATACTTATCACCACTTGCTGCCTAGATTACTTTTACAAAGGAATGTGTTGCTTTCAATGTGAAATAATAAACAATGTTTTCAACTTACATTTCCTGATGCATGGCGATATTTTGAAAATGACGTACAGCTGCTGCAAATAAAAGCCTTGCTCACTTGTGGCGTTGAACACAAATGTTTTACACAAACAATGTGATCACTTTTATAAATGAAATTTCAACAATCGTAAATTATTGCGATTGTCCGAATATGGCGATTGATATAAAGTGATGTTTTGATAATCGTAATTATATTCATAATATCAAAGGGCAGACAATATGTTATAAAGATATCTAATGTTGATACGTTTTAATGTCTGAATCACGATTGATGATATGAACAAGGAAGCGAATATGATATAAAACTAGGTCAGATTATACTCCAAAACTCCACACGAAAAACAGAACGAGTCAATATTTATATATAACAATGACAGTTTTGAATTTCTGAATCACGATTGATGATATGCACACGGTAGTAGATATGATTTAATTTGATATAAAACTAAGTCAGATTATACTCGGAAACTCCACATGAAAAATAGATACGAGTCAATATTGATAGATAAAAAACAGTTTTAAATGTTTGAATCACGATTGATGATATGAACACGGAAGCAGATTTGATTTAATTTGATATAAAACTAGGTCAGATTGTACTCGAAAATTACCACACGAAAAAGGATAGTCAGGAACTGGATATATACAGTTGCACCNGGGGGGGTAAGTATTTGTATTGTTGACAGTATAATTGATTAGAGGTGATCAAAAAAGAAAATAAACAAAATATGGGCTAAGGAAAGATTTACCTTAAAAATGCACGCAAATCAACTGCGACATGTAAACATCGTAAGTAGGGGATAAGGTTGTTACTATAAAGAAAGGGAAAGTTCACAATCGGAAAAACGAAATCTCACTGCTTTGTAGTAAGCCGTCCCTATTGATCACGTTGTTAGTAAATTCAGTCTTATATGAAAACTATAAATAGCGTTGTCACAAAGAGGTGCACAGTTTATTCCTATAGGTATGCTAGCCGAAAAAATATTATTATCAAATATGCCTTTGCTGTGCTTTTCACAAAATATTCTCCGAAATAGAATCAAGAACTTTCGAAATTTATCAAATCTAGCGGTTTTACGAACCTCCCTTTCTGTTCCAACCTGTTTATATTTCCACCTTTTTTGCCTCAACGATGAGTCCTAAAAGGACGAAACAGCTTAAGATACAATGCAAGTCCTTTAATATATTTTACCCCGTGAATCCAACACAGCATGCTCTTGGTTTGCCCATTGTCAGGTGTACTCTTCCAAAATCAGTATCTTGAAATTCACATTCCATTTATAGTAGAAATCTCCCGATACTTAGGACGCTTCAAGACTCTGAATTATGTGAAATAGCTAGATCGCCATTTATTACATTACCATATGGATCATAGTTGTATGGAGATGTAGTGTAATAGCTAGGTTTAGAATAGCTTTAATAAATAATAAAGGTACTGTCTTACCTGAAGTATAGTGATAAGTTAGCGTCGACGGATATTACTGATATATATGACATCTACTCCCTTGTCGACGAACTCGACTTTCACGATATTAGGCGTTACCGGGGTCATGTCTGTCTGTACATACTCAATAACATTATTAAGTCTTCGATCTAGTTTCCGTGTGGAATCAGGAAGTTTCATTATAATTCTCTGGCAATGTTCGTAATAAATGCTCGTAATAAATAGCGAATACATTGTGGTTCGAACTTAGCGGACACCCAATTTGGTCTTTCACGAATTTCCATAGAGTGCTCAATCAAAACGTTGTATTCGATTGGACTGTTGTAATAGTGTTGTCTGTGAGTACGTCTACGTCTCCCTGTCGGGAGTGAACAAAGACAATACAACTGCATCAAGGACTTAAAAAAAATCCTACAGAGTCAACACGGTCATTACGTCCCTGTGGCAGAGCCAAGACTCGTTATTTTTTTCATCACATCAGACTGAAAAGTGTTTAGTCCTACAAGTCTCTGGTGTGTTACATCATGTACGCTAGTACTAATATTATTACCCGGCCTCCTCTGCCCCGGCCTGGTATTAAATCGATATCATGCCTTGTGATGGAGCAGAGACCTAAAGTTAATTTAGGTCTATGGATGGAGCAAGCCCGGTGTGATGCCCGGTGTGAATCACACCGGGGCGTTTTTAGAATTAATTGACAGCACATTGGTCCGCATCCATAAATAGCGTTGCAGTATGAACTATTTCTGTTGATATCCTGCATAAATTGAAGTTAAACTCTGCCTAAAATGTCGTTAAATTATCAAGTTAACCACGGACTTAGATAACAATTCTCTAATAATCTAATTCCGTGAGTTAACGTAGCAAGCGCAATCGAAATCTGAATTGACCGCCATGTTGGAAAGTTCGTCTCTCTTCCAATATAGGAAGACGTCTAAAAATGGATGTTATGGCCAAAATGGAAATTGTAGTAAACATTGCGGTATCAGTTGTAATACTATATTTGGCCATGCAGGCCAAACAAAACACAATAGAGTAAGCTATGGTCACATGACAGCCTGGATATGGTAGACACGCCCTACTCCTGCATCCGCGCCGTATACGGCTAGCGACAACACAACACATTTACCAAACATTTCGGACCAAGGAGCCGTCTCACAAAATTTCATTAAAATATAAGGATAGGATAAAGTATGGGCTTAAATCTAATGAACTAAAGAAGTAAGAAAGATCGGCCGAAAACTAGACAGAAGTCATGATTTTCTTTCATCCCTCTCGAAAAGTACCCTATTAGTATCTTTCCCCCTTTAATTATTGAATAATGTTTGATATTAAAGATTTCCTTGTCATATTACGAGAAAGCACATTTACGGAAAGTGCCAATGGTTCCCGTCGATTGAGATTGAAGATAAATCCAAAAGAGGTGGGCGGAAACACGTGATAGGCCACGTGATTCTATTGTTCGTTCGGAAAGCATCATATTTGCCATTTTCCTTATATAGTCATGATGACTCTAAAAGTCTCCCGAGCGTCTTAGCAACAGAGAGTATAGAATGCGGGAGATCTGAACAAAGAAAATGAAACTGTTTACAATCTCCCACTCGAACTTTATCAAAGTTAATAGCAGGAACATTGATTTTAAAAACTTTCTTGGTCATATCTGGAAACCGGAAGCTTATTATAAGGTAAGTCTCGTTGTAAAAGCCAAGAATACATCAAATAGATTCTTCATTCCAAGTCCGGCTCGTGTCCTCATATCTTTGTCCATAATGTTTGTTTTAAATGGGCTTCAGATACTTGCCCCATATATATAATAAGTGTTATCACTTTAGAATTGTCAGAATATATTGTTTAACTAAGCCTACTGTATTGTACAGAGTAAAAGTCAGTATTTTATAATAGAACACACCAGAATCTTTTTATATTCCTGATTTCCAGAACCAACTGTTCAAAGAAGTATGGACAAAAAAGCGACCGGGACTGTTGCGGCAGTATATTGCTGAAGTTGCACTCACTCAGGTAATGCAATCCATAATAGAATATAGTCTTTATTTATTCCATATTATAAGACATACTATATATATTTCCGCACCAAGCACAGAGTCTAAAATTCTGTCAATAATTAACAATGATAGTATTATAAACAATAACCCTAGTAATATGCTTAAAGCATATTATTGGGGTTATTGTAACATATATATATATATGGCTATTATTGTTAATAATTGACAATAGCAGACTTGCATGTGTGTGTACCAAGTAAATCAAGGGCAACAAATAAAGATTGCTCTATAATTTGATCAAAGATTCTTTATTAAAAAACACCTGTTTAATATTTAAATGTAATCTTTTAATGTACATATTTGATTTTGAAAATAAGGATTGGTAGCAAAATTTAACATTCTTAATGTTTATACAAAGACGTATATTTAAGCATGTTCAAAAAATGTATAAGAGTACTTTTCTACACTTTCTCAATAAATAAGGACTAATGAATTAAATTTTACACAAAATTACAGACAGCAAAGAAAACAACTGAATTATTTTCATTAATTTAGTATTGTCTCCTGTTTTGCGCCCAGCCCCAACCCTCCATCCCCTTCGCTCTAATATTATATTTTATTGGAGCTGACTGTCATCCTAAAAATTCTACAGGTCCTGGGACCTTCCCTTCTCCCACTTGTGACTTCACCCCTAGACCTCACTTTCAATCCCCACCAACCCCAACTCCCATTCCATGGCAGGTACCGGGCCATCGCATACACAATATTAAAAATGATTCTCCTATGTTATCACAACATAAAAATGTGAACACTATTGTTGCTTGTTTATATAACATGTAATTATTTGAAATACTGAGTGAAATTATCTAACAATTCTTTCCGTTTCAAGGCACACCAAGGCCAAAAAACATCAGTTATAGAGGTGACACCAGCAATGACTCTTTCATCACCAGTTCAGTTGACACCAACAATGACTCATTCATCACCAGTTCAGGTGATACCGGAAATGACCCCTGCATCACCAGTTCAGGTGATACCGGAAATGACCCCTGCATCACCAGTTCAGTTGACACCAACAATGACTCATTCATCACCAGTTCAGGTGATACCGGAAATGATCCCTGCATCACCAGTTCAGGTGATACCAGCAATGACCCTTACATCACCAGTTCAGGTGACAGCAGCAATGACCCCAGCATCACTATCACTATCCCCATCAGTAAGTACATATATACAAATATACAAGTTAACAGGAAATAATAGATATATACACCTCTGAAAATCTTACATACATACTCCCCCTCTCCAGATCTAGATGTGATCTAAGCACTGGACTTAAAAAATATCACTTGTATTCATGGAAAAAAATGACAAAATTAACAAAAATAAATCCATCAAACCAGGGATATAATTCCATTCGCTCAGTCAATGCCTGGAGCTTTTAGATTTTACCATATATATATCATGAAAGAATTAGAGTGGATAGGTGGGCTTATTACAAGACATTGAAAATTAATTTGTTGGCATTTCTGCTGAACTTTGATAAATATGGGAGGGCTGGTTTATTACCAGTCATGGACTTATTTCCCTATAAATACAGTGTGTTTGGTTGGCGATTTTTTTTCGTAATTACTATGAAAATAATAGGTTGGCTGGTAGACATTTTAAAAATCATTCTATGGCCTAGTATTCTAGCTATGAAATTGTACATCCCTGTGAACAGTGACAATACAAGGCATCTAAATTAAAATGATGACTATTTTGTTCAGATTCTGGTACCCCACTGGCTGGAGGAACAAACCCCACAAACAGTATCTCCTGCTGCTTCAGAACATTTAGATAGGGTGAGTTTGACCCACATTGCTTTGTCCAAAAGGAGGTATTCAATTTTATATTTGATATGTTGTTGATAATTCAAAATTTAAACATCAAATCCAACTTCTTGTTAACTAGACCAACAGTGTTCACTTATCTGCTTAAATTCCTTGATTTCCTAAAACTTTATAGAATTTTCTGACATTTGAAGTGATTGTGAATGTATAAGGCATACTTTAGCATAATATTTGCAGAGTTAATGCCCTTTGCAATCAGTACCTATGATATTCTGAAAATTTAGTGATAATATAAACTTTTTCTTACTAATTCTACATTTGTCAAGAAACACATTACCTATCAAGTATATTTATAGTTTACTTCAGCTGTAGCTTATCATGTTATTTTTGTATTTCATAAGAACTTTCAGTCCATATGGAGCATTGAGTCGTCTCCGCTGTCAACAGAATCATCTACTTCATCGGAGAGTACCTCATCTGGGAGGTTATCTCTACCATTTGGAGGTAAATCAATTGCAATGTCTAATATATATGTTGAATGATTAAGAACTAAACTCTTTTATAAACTGAATAAGCTTGAGAAAAATGAAAACCATATCAATAATTTTTTCATAATTTTCATTTTTCTAAAACTTATTATTGTCATTTTGCTTAAAGTTTAAAAGTGCGCAGAAATTGATAGGATTTTTTTTACAGATACACAGTAAATAATTGTCATTCTGCACAGCTTTCTTTCTTGAAACAGATATTTTGAGAAACAACTTCAAAGCTGACCTATATTCAATATTAGAATGGACATCAATATATCTTCAATTTTCATTTTATTTTGTAGTCGTACAACCTGGTAGTCCTTACCCTGACTACCAGATCAGGAAGTGTTCGATCCATACTCCCCACATCTCATTCCTCATCCTTGACCCCCGCATTGTCACATTTACCAAAGAACCCAGTGGTATGTTCAAGGTCCTGGGGAGCGGGGTATCAGGAAGTGTGTACCACGCCAGTCTCCTGTCGTCTGGATACCAGCTCGCCGTAAAACTATACCATCAGGCAGAGCTGGTGCCGCACACAATAGTCAATGAAGGGATGATAATGGCTCTCCTACAGAACACGGGTGTGGTGCCGAAATTCTTTGGAGTGCTGCAGGAGCCAGGGGACATACAAAAATTCACTCTTGTCCAGGAGTTTTTTGGTGATGGTATGACATTGTATAAACTCATTGGGATGATGAACAAACATCAAATTACTTTGAACGAAAAAGAGACCATCACCCTATGTTACAGACTGGTTCATGCACTTAAGGTAAGTTAAACATAATGATAGGGTTCACAAGGTACCATTACTAGGTAAACTTTATGCCTGGTTTTAAGTTCATGAACACAAATTACAGGTTATACATTGTTATAAGTAAAAGGTTACAATGTATATTTGCTTATAAATTAAGGGTCACTTATCTACAGTTTAAATGTGGCTATAAGTTAATGCCACAACTTACAGTTATACTTAGTTAATAGTTCAGGGTCAGAGGTAACAGTTTATATCTGGATATAAATAGAAAGATTATAGGTAACAGTTGATGTTTGGTTGTAAGTTAAGGGTTACATGGTTAAACTTTATATCTAGTTATAAGTTAAGGGTCAAAGGTTACAGTTAATATTTGAGTATATGTTAAGGGTTGCAAAACTCAGTTGATACTTGGTTATAAGTTAAGGGTTACATGGTTAAACTTTATATCTGGTTATAAGTTAAGGGTCAAAGGTTACAGTTAATATTTGAGTATACGTTAAGGGTTGCAAAACTCAGTTTATACTTGAGTATAAGTTAAGGTTGCAAGGTTACAGTTTATACTTGGTAATAAGTTAAGGATCACAAGGTTACACCAAGTATAATATAAGTGATGAGTTACAGGTTACAGTTAGTACATGGTTATATGTAATGGGTTATATAAAGGCTACAATTTTTCATGCTTGATATTAAGAAAAGGGTCATATGGTTACAGTTTATACTTGGTTATAAGTTTACAGTCAGAGGTTCATTTTACACTTGATTATAAGTTAGGGCCACAAATTTACAGTTTATACTTGGTTTTAAGTTCAGTGTTACAGGTCAAATTTTATACTTAGTTATAAGGTAAGTGTTACAGGTTAAACTTTATACTTGGTTTTAAGTTCAGTGTTACAGGTCAAATTTTATACTTTGTTATAAGTTAAGTGTTACAGGTTAAACTTTATACTTTGTTATAAGTTATTAAGTTAAGTGTTACAGGTTAAACTTTATACTTTGTTATAAGAAAATATTAAGTTAAGTGTTACAGGTTAAACTTTATACTTTGTTATAAGTTACGTGTAACAGGTTAAATTTATGCTTAATTTATAAGTTAAGGATCACAGGTTTACAGTTACAATTTATATTTTATTATAAATTTATGTTGACTCTCTAATGATGTTATTAAAATGTGGTTTTGGGTAATACAGACTATGTCTGGTATGTATTTTAGGTCATCCATTCCAGAGGGGTATTGGTAAACGATTTGAAAAATGACAATGTCCTGGTGGATGTATCCAACAAGGAATTCAATATCAGGTAAAGGATGATACAGAGAGACAGTCAAATTGTTACTTCACAGTACAAGTGTTTGGTCCTTATTTAGCAAATTAGTAGGTAATTTTTTATCCCTTTGTTTTGGTGAAATATTTTCAATTAAAGTTAAATGCATAAAATGATCTGTGTATACTATACATGTATATGTATAGATGAAATTAGTTTCATATCAGTTTTTATTTTTGTATTTTTTTTTCTGGGTGGAGTTGACTTATTGTTGACAACTTACTGGAATTACTCGGGGAAAATTTCTGTACTTTAAATGACAAGAACAAATTGAACCACAAACTTATGTATCTTTTTCTGTGCAAGAACTAATGAATTAATTGTTTGAAATTGTTATACAAAAAGCAAACCTATTTGAAATTTGCCTTATAAACTGTCAAGTATTTAATCTGAAAGCATTCAAACAATGATTTTAACGCTGAAAATAATTTATAATTATAGCTACAGGTTGTTATATAGGGATTAATGTGTTTATAATTATAGCTACAGGTTGTTATATAGGGATTACTGTGTTTATAATTATACCTACAGGTTGTTATATAGGGATTACTGTGTTGATAATTATAGCTACAGTTTGTTATATAGGGATTACTGTGTTTATAATTATAGCTACAGGTTGTTATATAGGGATTACTGTGTTTTTCATTATAGCTACAGGTTGTTATATAGGGATTTGTTTATAATTATAGCTATAGGTTGTTATATAGGGATTACTGTGGTTATAATTATAGCTACAGGTTGTTATATAGGGATTGAACTGTGTTTATAACTACAGGTTGTTATATAGTGATTACTGTGTTATTGAAAAATTTCTTACATCCATATTAAACAAGAAGCCCTAGCACTTCATGCCATAGGGATGTTATCGATTTGCATTCATACCTCATGAAAATTTTAAAAACATGTTCAATCCATATATTTACATTTTTACTTTAGAACAGTTGTTTAATTCAAGTTATTTATTTACTGCGTTTTGTATATGCATCTTCCTTTAAACGACATTGGCAGAACAGCCGTAATGAAATAAAATTGGCACCAATAACTAACCGTAGTCATTTGAGCATTTGACGCAGGGGCATTCTCCATGTTATCTGAACAAATTAGCAACAAGACTTTCATTGAAAAAGGTCAATCTATGAAGTCATAAGTAAACCATGTGTTTTATCACAAGAGTTTTTTGCTTTTATACTCAAATGAAATTAATTTCTGCTAGTACTGTTCATATAGTGGGTTGCAGCGCAAATGTAAATACATTTATTTAAATGAATAATGTTTTTTCTATTTATAGATACATCGATTTTGGTTTGGCTACATTTGGTGTCGGAATGACCTATGAAAAATCCTACGAACCAAATTCTGACATTAAATACAGTTTTTTGGCACCAGAGGTCAGACAGGGAGACAATCCAACCTGTGTGGCTGCAGACATCTACAGTTTAGGGATACTAATTGGCGAAATCGGCTGGAGAATCGACGAATTAGAGGACATTAGTGAAAGATGTACAGATCAAGTTGCCCTCGCAAGGCCGAGCATGGACGAACTTGTCATGATGATGGATGGTCTAGTCAACCTCACTAATTAGAACTGTACATCCTTTTTCTGTCCTCATCAAGGCCTGACTCCGGAAATATTGAGGCCATTACTTTACATCAATATAGATAAATTATTTGAAAATAATAAGTACACAAGTAATTTTCAGGCCTGGAGTAATCATAAAAACTTATCAATCCGGTCTGTTGTCAATAGATATGTCGCCTATGAACTTTTTTAAATTCAGTGCATTCTGTCCCTCTGTTCACTTACCTATAAAAACCATATGTTTATCACAAACGCCAATCTGTGTGTTAATTGGGACATTTAAAGACTAATTAATAAACGCAGATGAAAGAACCTGTGATATTCTCAATAAAAACGCTTTACTGTATCTCAATTTGAAATCAAAACAGATAATTGCCAATTTGTCGATTCTTACCTGGGTATTTTTTGTATCTTTTTATGCCATATCTTGCATTTTGAAACCCTACACTTGTTTTTATTTCAATTTTAAAATCTGTGATATTTATCTTTTATATACCCTTTATGTATCAATATAAAGTTCAGTGTTAAGTGATATATACAAGTTGTATGTTATATATATATATATATATATATATATATACAGTCTACTTTGGTATATTATGATATGTACAATCAAATGTTTATACATTCTACCTATATATTGTTATAGTTTGATGAACTTTACATTATACTCAGGCTGCAGTGCTATTAGATATTAGATGCAGTTCAATTGTTTTTACATACAATATCAAAATATATATGTTTATGACTAATGTGTTCCATACAGAAACTGATATTTTTTTTCAAATTCCAATTCTTGTCTAGAACTTTCCTTCCTATTGTTTTATTCCATGTATCAGTCAGCCACAGTCTCACAAGGCTTGAAGCCCAATGCATACCCCCTTTTCTAGCCCCTCCCCAACCATTTTGATCATTATATGTGTACAGGGTGCTCTGGTTTAGATTGTTTTTTTTAGTTACTTGGAACAAGTGGGTAACCACATTTGAAAAAGTTAACACATGCGCTGCAATAGTTCTATCTGATCATAAGCCAAAAATTGTGTATAACCGTCATCATTATTTTTTTATGGAATTAATTCTAATCTTTTTTTACTTTGATAAACAATTCCTGTTTAATTTTTTAAATTCCTGTCTCTCTTTCATTTTAAGCTCATAGAAACTAAGTAACCTGATTTCTATAAAGTGGGGATAGGGAATATTTTGGGGAGAGAAAAGTGGAAATACGTGATTTGCAGAACAGGATGCGATCCTCTGGCACACTGTGAAAAGTTGTAACATCGCAAGTCGCTGGCGTGGACTTGAAACCCGTAAACTTGGCCTGCTGCACATCAGATAGTTTCACTGATTCAAATTATTTTAAATTTTATGAGTTTGATTGAATAAATTTCTTGCAGGGTAATATGGGTTAGGGCTAACTAACTAATTTAATTTTCTTTGTTCACGATTTCTCCTTTTTTATGTTTTTTTTAAATATATTATCAGTGTATAGTTATTTCAGTTTAGCTTCCAAGCAGATACAAAAAGATTGGCACGTTCATTTTTTTTAAAATATCCTATCAAGATATATATATATATGACTTGTATTCCATCCAGAAACTTATATTTAATTCCAATATTTGGGGGGTTTTCACACCGTTTATTCTTTATGTTAGCTTTTTTTTAATGCCTAAGTCAACCACAGTCCTACAATGGTCTTGATGCCCTTGGTATGTCCCATATCTGCCCCCTCCTCACCATTTTGATATATATGGTTACAGGGTGTCCTGTTTAAGATTTTCCAATTTCATAATTATACAAACTAAAGCTAAATACATTTCAAGCAAGATGATATGGTTAATAGTAAAAGTACTTATTTAATTATTCACAAAAATATCCTGCTTTAAATTCATTCCAATATTCATGTTTTTCCAGAATTTTGATATTGATCAATATTGGCATCAATATTTATTAAAATAATTCAGAATTTAAATGGCTGATATATTTTGTTGTATACACATAGACATAAGAATGACTAAGTCATGTTCTCTGTGAAACAATTCATTTTAATAACTGTCTCTCAAATTGTTAATTTCAATGGGAATCTAATAAAGTTGTTATCATTACATTATCATTGATACTGCCTTTGCTTTATTTATGTTTTATTTTTGATATCTCCAGAGGAATCAGGAAAGAAATGTTCCTGTTAATTCCATGGCACAATGTCTGATTTGTATCAACCGATCATCAATATTTTGAGCTGACCTATCCTAAGTTTTTCATTTAAATGACTTTGTCTTAAGAACCAAAAAGCCTAGATTCATGATATGACCCACATAGCTGCTTTGGATGAAGTTGAACAAAGTTTGCAATTAAAAATGACCTGGACATACTTTCAAAGTCACAGGGGTAAAATATGTACTATGACTAAGTCATTCAGAAGAACATGTTAAAAAATTAAACACATTTGACATTTAAAGGTTTTGAAAGTGGGTAATTGTCCTTTATCCAAGCATGTAACTGGCCAAAAATCAACACTTTGGGCTTTTTGGTTTTTCAGAAGAAGTTGTTTGAAGGTTTAAAACTGATTTGACCCCTTGTGACTTTGAATATAAGTCAAGGTCATTCATTTGAACAAACTTGGTAGTCCTTCATTCAAGCATGCTACTGGCTAGATATCATCATCCTGGGGCTTATGGTTATTCAGAAGATGTTGTTTAAAGGTTTAAAACATAGTTGATCTCTGTGACCTTTAATATATCTCAAGGTCATTCATTTGAACATAGTAGCCCTTCATGCCAGCATGTTACTGGCAAAATATCATCCTGGGCCTATTTGTTATTAAGAAGAAGTAATTTAAAGGTGTAAAACATATTTGACCCATGTGACCTTGAATTTAAGTCAAGGTCATTCATTTGAACAAAGTTTGAAGCATGCCGTTGACTAAATATCAACATTCCGGGCCCTATGGTTATTCAGAAGATTTCATTTAAATGTTTCAAACATATTTGTTCCCTGTGACATTGAATATAAGTCAAGGTCATTCATTTGGGGGGAAAAAGAACCCTTCATTCCAGGCCAAATATCAAAAACATGGGCCTTACGGTTATTAAGGAGAAGTTATATAAGGGTTTAAAACATATTTGAACCCTGTAAGCTTAAATATATGTCAGGGTCATTTATTTGACCAAATGCAGTAGCCCTTTATCCAGGTATGATATTGGCCGAATTTCAGCAGTGCAGGAGATAGGGTATGTTAGTGTATTAAGGACGAGCCATATTTTAGTGGTTCGGGAAAAGCGGAGAACCCAGGGAAAACCACCAACCAGCGACCAATTCCTAGACATTAGTCTTATATAAATTACAATCATTAAAAACAATACTGCAAAATAACAATTAGCCCTGAGTGATGATATTTGACCAGAATTTAAGCTAGGATGAAGGGCTACCAATATTGGTTAAACTATATGACATTGGTCAATGTTCAAGGTTACTTAGGTCAGATGTTTGATGTGCAACCTTCTGACATTTGGTCTTCTGTCATATTATGCTAAGAATTCTCAAATTTGTTCATATGAATGACCTTAACCCACTTTGAAAATCTTTGAAATTAAATATGTGTGATTTTTTTTAAATCACTCTTAATCTGAATAACCAACGGGCTATAAGGGTAGTGATATTAAGCGAATAGGACACTAGTTTAAGTATGAAAAATATCAAGTTTTTATATGAATGATCTTGTGTTATATATTTTATTTGTTACATTTTTAGCCAACCATAATAAGATTATTGGTTGTTCAAATCGCCTTCTATCCCTCGTTTGTCCGTGGTCCATCATTAAACAATTCTTGTTAGTGCTATTTTCAAATTTGACATGAAGACTTCCCAATGTTTTTTCACATGATATCGAATTTAGGACTTCCTAGAAAACCAAGATGGCTGACAGGTGACAACCTGAGAGTTAAATTTGTCAGCACTATTTCTCAGAAAGTACGTGAGGGATCTTTCTTAAACCCTTTCACATGAAAGTTTCAATGGTCTGAAGAAGTGCATATAAAATTTTAAGACAGATTAGAAATCCAAGATGGCTGCCTGACAGCCGTCTTGAATTTAGAAAGTTCCTGTTTGCATTAGCTTTTTCTCAGTTGGATGGAGGGAGAATATTTTCAATTGCGTGAGATTAATGGCTCATGTTGCGTAAGACATGTTTCAGCGTGAGTAAGGACGTCTCAACGTGAGATTTTGTCTCACGCCGCGAGAGTTGGCAACGCTGTAACTTTTTTTTGTTTTTTTGTTTGTTTTTGTTTAGGTAAACTTCAGATCATGATTTATTAGCGCATAACATAATTATCAAACAATAAAATAACAATAAATCACTATCATTATTTTGAATAACCATAGGGCCCAGAATGTTGATATTTAATCAATGCAATACTTTGATAAATGGATACGAACTTTGTTCAAATGAATGACCTTGACTTAAGTTCAAGGTAACATGGATCAAACCTGTAACTTGGCAAAAACATTTTTACGGGAAAAATTGTGTCTGTGGGAATGACGTCAAATTATAGCTTTTATACTAGAATGAACATTATAAGAGGAAACGCCGAATAATTATCTAACAGAATGTCAAGGTTTATCAAAATTGAATGTGAAACAAAGTCACAAAATAGTTTTTTAAAAAAAGTTTTTACATAGAATCCAATAGGAAAATGACGTAATGTGAAAGACGTCTGACACGTCGCTACATTCAATCTTGTATGCTCGACGGTCAAAATGTATACAGTTGTTTCCAAGTGTGACAAGCGATAGAGAAATAGTTGATAAACATGTCAGCCTTTCTGTGCACGAGGTCTGCGTATGTGGTCTGTGTGTTAACAATTTATCTTTATATTTTTTAATGTAACAAAGGTATACGTTGATTGTCAATTTGTAGAGCTATCTGAAACTCAGAGTTGAACTATGGATTTATGCTATATCTGCAGTGATCATGTCTAGCACATCTATATAATCTATATAATAGACGTTATTAAAAACATCCTGGTTAGTTCTCACATTATTGCTTTATAAAGTACTTGTTGATTATCCTTTGCAACACTTAAATAGGTTGATTATTACTTACCCGTCAGATGGCTAACATTATAAAAAGCATTATGGATCTTTTTTAAAAGCCCAATATGCAATCATAATCTACATAAATACATGTATATACAGTTAAATAAGAAGATGACAGTAAGATATTCACATGTGATTACACCTTAAAAATAAACATGTACAGTGTGCCAAAATATATTACACTGCATCATACAGCGAGTTCCTCCTTTTCTTTGGCTCATCGGTGATGTTGATTAGAGGCCAAAAAGATGAATATCAAAATTGGTCTCAACCACAGGGACATGAGGATTGTTACAGCAGTATTCGGACCTAAAGTCGGGTGGTTAGAGTAACTTTGGGTCCAGATATTGCTGCAACAAATGCTCAGGTCCCTGTGAAGTGGAATACATATGGTCGATTCTTTTCTCGAAATTGCACGGGTCCAACCAGTGATCTATGAACACTAATTTTTTGATAAATTGACTACTTGCGGCTTTCAAAAGCTCTGAATCCGTAACTTATAAGAATGACAAAACTAAAGTATCCGGGTTTTTTTAACTTCTTAAATAGATATTTAATATTTAGACCATTCGTCTTCTACGTTCGTCACTGTATAAGTCCTATGCTTATGTGTTATATTTAGTGTATATCAAATTAAATTCCTTGGTAAATCGATGGAAAAACTTGATTTGTCATCCCGTATAATTAAGTTATCGATTTTGAGCTCCTTACGACTAAGCCACATGTTGTCTACAGGTTACTAGTTTGAAAACATAATATATAGATATACATATACAACACTTTGACACCACACCATCGAGCTCATTACCTTAATTAGCCTCAAGCATACAGACGATGGTTGTTAAGACAACGGAATAACGTTCTATTCTCATAAAGTTGTTTAAAGTTTTTAACATATTTGACCCCTGTGACCTTAATAATATATATAAGATATATATATATATATACATATATATATATAAGGCTTTTACATATAAGATAAAAGTTTTGGCGGTCGCTATCGGCCATCCTTAGTGATCTGCTGTAGTATAAAATAAGAGATAACTTGTTAAAATGTACATAATCAACAATAACCACTTGTTCAAAGGCTGATCTGCTTAACGTTTAATTATAGCAAGTAACAAAATGTTATGTTTGAGAAATATCATGAAAGGTTGTACATTTATTTTTTCATTCATTTTTTGTTTTATCTTTTGACGATCATTTTGAATCATCCTCATGTCATGCATTGCATTTTATCAATATAAAATATTGGTGTTGAATGTTATATTATGGTTAAGCTAACAAGACTCTAAAGAATTACTTTGACTCTGTATCTGTGGTCCAGCCGTTACACATTTCTCTCTGATAGATTATTGTTTTACATACTAAGTTTATTCTTACAATCAAAAACAATGTTTTTTAAACTATTTTTTTATATATTCTAGTTGTAGAAGATTATCATTCTCTTCGCCCATCGGGCATTAAGACTCTACCTAGCTATATGTACGAGTGGGATTTCATGTTAAAAAATAGATTAAAAAAAAGAAAATAAAACCTCTTGAAAAGCGATTTTCAAATATGGTATCTTTTTATACGTGTTTTTCAAAAGACATAAATTAGATCACAGCTAAGCTAGTGTTTCATTCGATACAGGCCCATGTAGCTTTTTGAAAAGTTACCTCCCTTGACATAAACAAAAATATCGCGGGAAAATATGGCGGATATAGAAGTAATGGAAGTCGACTCTATCGAGTCAACAAAAAGCAAATCAAAGCCTGGAGGAAGCTCGGGGTCAAGCCATGAGCTACCATGGTAATGAATAAGTATAATGTGTTACGTAAATATTTTGAATACGTCTTTCTTTAGTCAGAAGTAAAGAAACACTTGCGACTGATAACTTACCAGTTTTGAGAAAGCCCCCCCCCCCCGCCACCTGACACAAACACAATTCCATGACTTCGATTAGCGATAAAAAGCTAAATATAAGTATTCATTTATTTCAAATGTCTGTGTAGAGTCCGTTAGGATCCCGTGATGGATCTGCTCCTTTGCACTTCCCCCTTCATGTGTTAGCAATTGGTACAATCATGCCGGCATTTTAAGTGTGAGTCATGATCACCATTTCTTTATACATATTATTACTTAACACCCTTTGATATATTTATCATCAATAGATAGCATGTGACATGTCAACATATGTTGTAACAGGGACGTATTTGTCCAATAAATGTACCATCCATAATGATTGCAGGCTTCAAATTTCAAAGCAGTTTGCCTGTTAATGGTCTGCTATAAAATTAATAAGTATTCAGGTAAAAGGCATACACAAATAAAACAGCTGATATATACAGTTTATAGGCTGTTTGGAAACTTGATGTCAGTTCCGTATTCATATTGAGCCCTTATAGATTACCTGGGATAACCCATCAGAGCCATGGAAAGCTTATTTCCAATGGGGTCCCTATCTCTTCTTCAAATCACAGGTTTGTTGTATGCCCAGGTTGGAAGTTCGAGGAACTGCTTTTATGAATATGCTAATAAATTAATTTCTCACTCATATGACTAAATGCCCTGCCCCAGCTCGACACATTATGGGTGCTACATCATTTGAATGAAGTGCTGTCAAGTTCTCCTAATATTATAATTAACAGCCATATTTCCTGCATCAATATGCATCAACCGACTTCGCCCAAGTTTCCTTCGGTCCTGACAACAGACTTCAACCTTTTGACAGATGGATCCATCTTTCATAATGTCTAAGTCCTGTGTCAGGGCCAAAGGAAACTTGGAGCTACAACTGACTGTGTATGCAAAAATTCATGATTTATTAAATTATTAACACAAGTAATGGTAACATTAATTGAAAATACACTTAGTTTGAATAAAAATCAGTTGATTATGTGCTTCATGTGTTATAATACTGATATTTAAAGAAAAAATTTAACTTGATTTTTTTTATTATTTTTATGCAGGGTTGAAAAATATCGGCCAACAAAATTACACGACATAGTTGGAAATGAGGAAACCATTAGCAGACTTCAGGTTTTTGCCAGGGATGGAAATGTGCCTAATGTCATCATTGCTGTGAGTGACTTAAGCTTCTTAATTTAAAGTTAAAAGTTCAAGCTACCAAAAAATCTTTTAACCACTGCACTGCCAAAAACTTACAATGCATTGCCTTGAAAAGAGGAATAAAAAAGAAAACTGGCATTAACACCCAAAAAGTATTTTTTTGCATTTTATAGGAAAATCAGGAATATGATTCTACTTGTTGATTTACAGTTTAAAACTTCTATCCAATACTGCTATTTATGCATCAGAAACTTGGGTAATTTGGGGACAGACAGACAGACTTTCTTTATTTCCTCCTTTAGCTCCTGTAGAGATTGTACATGGATCATGCCTTATCTTGTGCTTACATCAAATTTAGAATATACATTGTATACATAATCATAGTAAAGTGTTCATCTCTGAGATCATTATAGGTATCAGATCGGCAATATTCATCATCATTGGGGCCCACCTGTCACAATCCAGTTGAATATCGTTTGAACTTCCGAGTATAAATTGACACTGTCTTTCATCTTGCAGGTGATCAAATTTAACATAATCTGATACGTCTAAGAAATTGACTAAAAAGTCTAAGAGTTTATCGTGACTTTTGAATAGCGATGGACACTGGATAAGAAAATGTAAAGTAATATTGTCAGACCGTTTCTGACATATTCTACCTATATATATACAACAGTATCTCTATCGTACCGGTAGGACAATTTTATAAGTTCTCCAAGTTTCCATATATATTTAGGGAAATCCAGGCTTATCAACCACAATGGATTAGGACCTTGCTCAGTATGAATAGAATGATACATTTGTAATATTTCTGAGCAAACCATCGCGTCTTGCCACCTTTTATGGTAAAATTCTTCGACAGTTCTTCTACAGAAATTCCATGATGTACGTGCTGGACAAAAAATGTTGAACACATAGTCCAGCAACATAGTTGAAATCTCGATTTTTACCGAAGTTGTGAATATGTCATGAATGAAATTTTCTGCTTTGAGGAATATGTCACCGAATACGAAAGTGCACAACCGAATTGTAAAGAGAATTTTCCATACATACTTATTACCTGCCGAACAGAGCTTGTTCCAGAACATGAGTTTTCTTAGGTCAACATCACCGTATATATCCAATAGTCCTATATATTGCTCGTGTTGTAACAAGTGTCGGCGATGTCTTCTCGAAGCCTTAACACCTCCGTGCGGCATATCGCTGAACAAGGTCGAGGTCTTGGCGTGAATGTTGTGTTGGATTAGCCCATAGTTCTGATCATAGAGATTGCGCGACTGCATTATTAGCTCACCTGGTCCAAAGGACCAAGGTGAGCTTATGCCATACCGTGGCGTCCGTCGTCCGTCCGTCCGTCCGTCAACAATTTCTTTAAACGACTTCTTCTTCTTAACCACTGATTGGAATTTTACTAAATTTGACTGGAAGCATCCTTAGGTGGTGGGGAATCAAAATTGTACAAATGGTGGGGCTGACCCCCCAGGGGGCTGAGGGGCGGGGCAAAAAGGGGGCAATTTGGCTATATTGCTTTAAGCGACTTCTTCTCTGGAACTAAGAGATGGATATCAACCATATTTGCCTGGAAGCATCCCTAGGTGGTGGAGATTCAAAATTGTACAAATGGTTGGGCTGACCCCCCAGGGGGCTGAGGGGCGGGGCCAAAAAGGGGGCAATTTGGCTAGATTGCTATAAACGACTTCTTCTGTAGAACTATGCACTGGATATCAATCATATTTAATCAAAAGCATTCATGGGATGCAGGGATTCAAAATTGTACAAATGGTGTGGCTGACCCCCCAGGGGGCTGAGGGGCGGGGCCAAAAAGGGTTATTTGGCTATATTGCTT